AGACAGACACAGTTAGCAGCTAGCTGGTGAATATAGTGGAGCATTAAGTAACTAAAGAGGCAGATATTTAATATATTTAGATAAGCCAGCCAACCAAACCTTGCGTTGTTTCTCATTCAGCCCCAAATGTGAATCGTCATTGAGCAAAAGGAAAGTCGGCTCCAGAGGTACAGGGTACAGGCTTATCAATCATATTGGATAAAGTCACTGTTACCTTCCTCCAAAAGCCATAAACCTCTGGGCAGTCACATACCATATGCCTAAATGTTCCCAGTGTGTTCAGGGAGCACAAGTCACTGTTCGGGCTGGTTGACAGCTTCATATGAAATCTCAAAAGTGGTGTCAGATAGGCCTTCTGACACAACTTATAGTGAATCAACTGGTGGTTGGGGTTCTTGGACGTGTGAAATGTGTTCTCCCAGACATTTTCCCAGTTTATGTCCTCCTTCGCAACAGCCAAGTCTCTAGACCACGCCTTGGCCAGGGGTAGCTCTTTCTGTGTGTATGTTTGAAGTCGTGAATACACAACTGATACGAGTCCTCTAGTGTTCATTGTGGATAGCCAGTCTACTACAGGATGTGTTCATCCGCACACCATAGGCGCGAAGAGCCGACCGTAGTCGGAGGTACAGCAAGTAAGATGTCGTTGGCAGATTAAAAAGAGAACACAACATCTGGAAGCTAAGCATACCCCTTGGGTCAAACGCATCTCAGAGATTGTGCACTCCCTTTGAGGACCATGATGTTGATTCAAACGGCTTGTTCCCTAAGATACAATTCTTGTTCCCCCATAGTGGAGCATTCAGATGCCATTTCCAATTCACCCGCAGACTCTTCTCAACCACCTTGTAATTTCGTATCAAGTTTGTACTAACAGGCCCGAAGTGTAACATGCATTGGTTGATAGTCCAGAAAATAAGACCCCTTCGAGTTTGTATGGAAGCACTAGCGCATCTTCTATATTTCTCCAGGCTACCTAGCGGTCAAGCAATGTCTGAAAGAGGCCTGATGATACTTCATAAAATTTGGGAAGGCCAGCCCACACTCTCGCTTTGATCGCTGTAAAGTGGAGAGTTTAATTTTGGGGTGCCCACTATTCCAGATATATTTTTATAGCAGGGAGTCAACTCTCTTCCAATATCCCGCTGAAGGAGGGAGCGGAATCATCATGCTAACAAAGTTGAGGCGAGGCAACACGTTCGTTCAGTTTGACTGAGGCAATCCTTGTTTGCAGTGAGGCTGGTAATTTAGTCCATACAGCTATGTCACGTTCCACCTCTTTAAAGATGTTTTCATTTCGTTTTTACTATATTATGCAGTGAAGGCTGAATCTGGAAGCCCAAGTATGTGATCTCTGTTTTAATGGGAATATCATAAGGCAAAACTACCGCTTTTGCGGGTTCATTCAGGGGCATCAGAGCTGACTTCGTCCAGTTGATCTTATAGCCGGACAACATCCTGAACTCTTCAGAAGTGGCTAACAGAGAGGATATTGACTTTTCGATATCCAATAAGTAGATAAATACGTCATCAGCGAAGGCCGATATGGCATGCAACGAGGTTTTAATCTGAATAGGAGCAATGACCTGGTTCTCCCTCAGATGTTAGGCTAGCGGTTCTAACAAGAGAATAAATAAACTTGGCGACAGGCCTCATCCCTGTCAAGTCCCACGAAAGATGGAAAAGGGGTTCGAGTGTAAGCCGTTCGTGGACACCATGGCGGTGGGGTTAGCATATAAAACCCGAACCATGTCGACAAACCCTCTCCCCAGGCCAAATCTCTCCAGGACCGCCCACAAATACTGCCACTCAAGCCTGTCAAAGGCCTTTTCAGCGTTGAGTGACAGTATCGCACAAGGAGTCTTTAATTGATGAGTTTCATGAATTACGTGTATTAGGCGTCGGATATTGTCTGCTGCTAGACGCCCTTCATGAAGCCAGTCTGATCCTTATGAATTAGTTTGTCCATGTATCTCTCCAAACGTAACGCCAGCACCTTAGAGTACAGCTTCTTGTCTGAGTCAATTAACAAAATCGGTCTGTAATTGGAGCAGTCAGTTTTTTCTTTCACTTTTTTAGGGATTAGCGAAATCAGGGCAGCGTTAGTGTGAGCAGGGAAAGAGCCTTTTTCAACCGCTTATCGGATCGTCCCCAACAAAACTGGCCCCAAAATATCCCAGAAGTGTAGCAAGAGCTCTGGCGGTATGCCGTCTGGGCCCAGCGATTTCCCTTTATTTGTCATCTTAAGCGCATTCTCCAGCTCCTTTAAGGATATGGGACAACCCAGATCTGTTGCTTCCTGCTCCCCTAACGCGGGCAAATCTAGACTGCTC